AAAACCACACTTGGGACCCAGTCGATCTCCTTGGTGGTCGGGCTCTCCCAAGTCAATCTTCTTTTATCTACTCTCCTTTCCCTTGTGTACAAAATATACTCTTCCCACTACTCTGGCCTTTGTGGACTTCTCCTCCACTAATTTATCATGGTCTGAAGATCGCAGCTGCTGGGTTTAACTTACTTAACCCCTGCGATACCATCGCAGTTTGACTCGCAATCCGCAGGTCGGCCACACTACCTATACCAGCACACGACAAATCTTACAGTCGATTGTGTATCTCATGAACTCGAAAGACATATGCAGACAATTCCTGTCGTGCAAAAGCAGTCATCGCCCTTATTCTTGGAGAAGAATACAAACCGGCCGTACTACTAACTTGCATCAAAATAATTAATTTTCGCTAAAAAAACCCCAATTTCAGATAATCACTATATCACAACTAAATGATACTCGGTCCAAAATAAAGCTTTTTGAGGAAGGGAAGCGGAAGACAAACGAATAGTAATCGAATAGTAATTAAGAATGCACATTAGGCCATCATTTGTATGCTTGGCAAGTGAAAGATTTCCAAGCTACTACATCTTCCAGACAGTTATTCTATCAAACAATAGAAGTTATTATGAAGTTTGTTTCGTCGATAGCCACATGGTACACGGTCTCTTCAGGTTCGAACAAAAAAATTCAACCATCCATCCGCGGAAGGTAGGACCTTTTACCTTCTTCGCTTGCTAGTTGATCTGCGCGCATCCTTGGAGGCATGGCGATGTGCATTCCCGGGCAGGTGATTGGCTGCTGGAGAGTTCTCTGCTGCCAATCGCTGGATGTAAAATACACGATATCCACATTCCTCCCCGGGAGAAATGTCATAAACATACATCTTGGCTTGCTCACCAATATTTTGGCTTTTTTTGCGGCTGCTGGTGCTGCTGTGAACGAGCCTTCCTACCCACCTCCTGCAGTCATTGCACACCGGTTGCGGAAAGTAGTGCGTCATCCGCAGCGGTGTGTCTACCCATTGAGAGCAGATGGGACAATATGCATCCCTGTTGGC